CGACCCACAGGTTGAGAACCGCTGCTCTAAGATGTCATCTGTTACACAGGGTACATATCCTAAGAAACCTTCCACTGTAAAGCATACATCAAGATACATGACTATTTGTACCGCTCAGAAAGGAGGGCTGTTGGAGTGGACACTGCAGTTGACTCTGCTCTCTTGTGTTGTGGGGACACCGTGAGCTTCCCAGAAACAGATCTCTGCTCCAGGGGTGGGGGCCCAAGGCAGTGAGAGCGAGGCATTTCCCAGAGACAGTGATTGGCTCAGTTATTGGTAAGCGTGCTGCAGGCTTTCGTTTATTTCATATATTTGATCCCATTTTTCTTCACTCCTCATTATTCTTACCTCTAGAATTTTTCTGCTTTTTTGATAGAGACATTTATTTAAAAAGATTCATCTGTTAAGATAATTCTTTGGATAATTTCTCAAAGATGAGCATTTTATTTCTCTAAGAATTTTGATGAATGATCACATTGGTTGAAGGAAGGCCATATGACCCAAATTAGCCCAACACAAATTTAAGGGAAGGGTGCCTGTTTGGTGGCTGAGGTACCGGTGTGCACGCTCTTTCCCTGGGTGGGAAACCAGGGAGCTTGTAGCGCCAGTTGCTGCTGGCAGCCATCCTAGGGCTATGAGGGAACAAACCTTAGGACGAAGCCAATGCTGAGGACGGAAAGCCTCTCACAACCACACAAAGGGAGCCTGGGTCCTTTGTGACATTTTTGAGCCAATGGATCAATCAACCCTGATGTCTAGCCTTCCTCTTTATTATTTAGGCCACTTTAAGTTGAATTTTCTGTTATCTCCAGCTGAAAGCAACTGAATGGATGTAGCAATGCCATATGTTTATTTAAAACTATGAGAAAGAAAAATAGTAGTCGAGTCTACATACTCCTTGTACTTGGGAGGCGTCAGATGCAAGTCTTGTAGAAAGTGCACCGGTACTGTTTTTATGATCATCAAACCAGCTCATGTCCTACGGCACAAAAATATACCTTTAAATTAGTTCAAAATTAAAGCAAGCGAAGAAAATCAGATGAAACCTCCCAAACCTCAATGCTGAGGAAAGAGCCCCACTTAACTTGGGTACTGGAGTTTAGGGGAGCCCTCACGTGCAGCATAGAGCCGTGATCCCAGCCCTGAGCACACACCCTTGAGATCCATCAGGATCCAAGCCCGGACACTGCTCTGCTGTGACAGGGACAGCACCACCGATGCAGTGGGGTAGGACTGGTCCAGATGGCAGCTGTGCTCCCTGCCAGATTGGCCTGAGGTGGTGGGTGCATGTGGGCTTTCCATCACTCAATCCTCATGGCGAGGACTACGGACACTGCCTCCCTGATCCGGGCGCTGCCTCCCTGATACTGTGGTCTCTCATAAGGGTGCTGGAGCTGTGCGGGATGTGGCTCTTTCTTGTAAATTCCAGGCGTGAGAAAATCAGCCCTGGTTTCTCACCATGTTTTTGTTTTGTTTAAATAAAAATTAAAAGAGTGTATCTTATATATGATTTTAATTATAAGCTACTCATCCACAGCATCTTTTAGTTTCATATAAAATATTTTTCCCTACAGGGGCCGGCCGAGTGGCATGTTGGCTAAGAGCTGGCTTGGGACGCCAGCTCTGAGCAGCAGGGCCCCGGTTCGGATCCCACATGAGGGCCAGTGACACTGCCCTCTACAGCTAAGATGCTGAACAACAGCTCAACCTGGAGCTGGGCTGCTGTGAGTCACCGGCGACAGTGTAGACTGCAGCCCCTGCTGCAGTGGGTTGCCATGGGCTACTGTGTGTAGCCAGCAGCCAGCGTGAGCGGCCAGCAGCCAGCGTGAACGGCCAGCAGCCAGCGTGAACGGCCAGCAGCCAGAGTGAACGGCCAGCCAGCCAGTGTGAGCGGCCATCCAGAAGCCGGCGACTGATCTGCCTCGCCCGGGAAGAGCACAATGATGGTGCCAACTTGGGCCAGTGAAGCAACGTCCTCCACAACTAGACTGAAGAACAAAAGGACAGCAATTCCCCAATAAAAATCTTTAAAAAAAAATAATAAATATTTTTCCCTACATTGCAACAGTTTAAAAGATACTGGAAAAAGGTTTCGAAACTCAGATATGCTAAAATATGATACCTGCTACGTGCCCTTTTATGAACAGGAATATAATCCATTCCTGTCGAGTGGATGAGTAATATTCTGGCTCTCTAGGAAGCCTTTTCTGCAAAAGGAGAGTATTCGTGTTTGCCTATTTTCCCACATGTCCTACACAAGACTGTGAACTTCCCAAGAGGGCAGACAATGCATTTGCTAGTTCCAGCTACCAGCACACTGTCTGGGTCATAGTAGGTAATAACTAGTGAATTAACAAGTGAATTAATGTGAAAACAGAACTCAACCAAGACAGAAGCAAAACTCCATTACCACCATTTGGGAAAACCTATCATTAGTATGGTCCATTGTGGTACATGAACACTACCTGTTCCTCTGTTTAAAGGTGTCCTGGAGTCTCAAATGACTCACCAGGGCCTGCATGGATCCCAAAGAAAAGAAACGGGTTCTTGAAATGATAGTGTCCACATAGAGACAGTCACAAAATGAGCCCAACCGCTACCTAAATGAAGTCTACTCCCATGGAAACCCTGAGAGATCTCTGCATATTGAAGGGCCAGGACAATTGGCAGGGCCCCGAACAGTCCTTGCATGAACACCCTGGGGTGGAGGAGGCGGAATGCCATGAACTACAGCACACCAACAGGGAGAGGAAGAGGCTTAAAATGAAAGAAATCTGAACAGAAGGCATTCATTTTCTAGTGCACACACCTACCTGTCTTAGCATTGCTTTGAAAGCCATTGACCGAAGCCTTGTGGTGAGGATCTCGCCAGCTTTCCCAAATGTAAAGCCCTGGGTGAGAAAAAAAGCTCTTGTCCTTTTTGAACATCACTAGTATTCTGACACAAGTGGGTATAGTCACATTTATTTTTACATTACAATAAAACCTTGGATTGCGAGTGCCTTGGTTTGCGAGTGTTCTGCAAGACGAGCAAACATTTCTAATACATTTTAACATGAGCAATGTCTTGCAATACGAATAGTTTGTTTCCAGAACGAATTATGCTCGCAAACCAAGCTATTACTGTACTTATATATTAATCAACTATTCAAGTCTGTGACCAAATACTAATTAAAAGCCCCCACTTGAACTTCATGCACTGCTAAATCATTAGTATATATCAAATCATAAAACCAAAAACCTTAAAAGTGTCCAGTTCGGCCTCTGAACTACTCTAAATAGGTTTCCTTTTCAAAACTTTCATTTATTTCAACTTAATTTTTTTAAAAAGCCCTGTGCCAATTGTGTTTGCAATTCATTTTACTCTAAGATTTGGAAACTCCATGAGGTCTTGATTAATTGATAATTAATCAAGCCACATTAATAAAGTTTAATTAATACATAATTAATCTATATTCTCTAATTGAATCTAGACTTGATGAGAAGACCAAATCATAGGTACCTACCTGAAGGAAGAACGTAAAAAAAGAAACAATTCCCAGACCTAAAAACAGCAATGCGATCATGTTGCACTTGTGCTGCTTCACCTCATCGTCCCCTGGTCCAAAAATCTACAAAAGAGCATTTGAAACACCCACGTGGATTACAGAACCCTTGTTTATTCCTCCCATAAATAGTGACTTGAGCATCACATTTTAAAAACTAGGCTTTGAAATATGTGGGTTTCTTTTTATTGTGGCAAAATACGCTTACCATAAAATTTAGCATTTTAACCATTTTTAAGGATACAAGTCAGTGGCATCATTTTCACTTACAGTGTTGGGCAACCTTCGCCACTACCTGTCTCCAGAACTTTTTCATCATCCCAAACAAAACTCTGTACCTGCTAAACAGTGACTCACCATTACCCCCTCCCCAGCCTTCTAGGAACCAACATTCTACTTTCTGTCTGGATTTCAGGACTATGTGGTTATGAACACGGGTTGAAACACTGCACGTGGACTGCTTGTGGTTGCACATTTTGGAGTTTGTCCCTCTTCGTCTGCACTCACTATTCCCTCTGCCTGAACTCCTCCCTGCGCCCAGCCCCAGTCCCAGCTTCTGTCCAGAGAGGGCTCTCCTGACCAATCTACGTGACACAACACCCCCATCTCCAGCCTCCCCATTGCCAGGTCCTGCTTTTAAAACACTTGTTACCACCTTGATACATTATGCATTTTGTTTTGTTTTGCTTTGCATGTCGTGTGTCCATCTCAATAGAATGTACAGGATTTGGTTTATTTTGTTTGAGAGCAGAACTTGGTTTATTTTGTTTCCGGCTATATATCTCCAGTGCCTAGAGCAGTGTTTGGCACACAAGAGATACTCAAAAATATAGATACAGTCCACATAGCTCTTGAATTGCAAAAGAGCCAAAGATTGCTTTAGTTTTTAATTTAGAAACATATTGGAGGGTCCTTTCTAATTTATTTTTTGGTTTTAGGTCTTAAATTGTAGACCAGTGTCCAATGTCACAAGCAATAATAAACTCTTAACATGATGGGGAAAAATTCATCTTTAACAAGAAAACCTCTCCAATAATGTTAGAGGTTGACTAAGGTTATACAATATAAATGCTGGGTTTTATGGAGCCTTAAATATTCTGACAACTTCCTATAAATATCCCAATGAATTTAACAATTGGATAATATGAGTTTTCTTTCTTAGTCTCAGGTTCTCCAAGCCTTGGGAGGATTACTAAAATGATACGGTGGCTATCACGTTTGGAATACTTACTATGAGGCACTCTTAGAGGCTTTCCAAATAGTTCTCTATATAATCTCTTTTCATCCTCAGTCATCCTATGCAGTGGTTTTATTTTATAGATGAAGAAACTGAGGTACAGAGAGGGACAGCATCTTGCCCACGTTTGCACAGCTATTAAGTAGTGAGGCCGGTCTGTGCCCAGAGCCCAGCCTCGTCAATGCTGAACTCCTGCCTCCTCCACCCTCTCCCAGCCTCCCATTGAGACGTGCATCTTGTGTCCACAGATGGGCTGGAGATCACTGCCTCACACCAGTTTCACCCAGATGAAGAGAGCTCATGAGAATTCCTCCATTGATTTTACAGTTTACAATTTGCATCATAACTTGGAATGGTTCAAAAGGCTACTTTCTCTTTTGCCTCACCGTTTCCCTCTAAAGGGAATTAAAAGTGTTGGCTTAGTTGAATTTTGAGGTTGCTTTACTTCCAGATGGACCCAGTGGTGAGATTGGCATGAGAACTAATTTAATGATGAAGTGACTAATTCAAGCAGTTAAGTGATCTTTCCAAACTTACCGCTATCATCTCTGAGAATATGACTGAAAATGCTGGCTGAAGTGCCCCGTTGGCAATGGCACATACTGTTCCCACCACGAAGTAGGGCCATTCTGTTTTATTCAGTTTTAAGACCTTCAGAAAAGACACTGGTGGCACATTTTCATCCTGGAATGTATCAGGACAGACTGTGAGAACACAACAGTTACCAGAGTAGAAACTAGACATGGCATCACCCTCAAGGAGCTTGCAAATTAGGTGCAGAGAATGACCAGTCTGCAGCAACCTTCATTCTAGAGAGGAGGACAGTATATTATAAAATGTCAACAATGTTCATTGATTACGTAGCATAAGCTGAGGATGATTGTTCACCCAAGAAGCAATCTTCATGGCCTCAGCAGTGAGCAAAAGCAGGGTCTGGGCACAAAATGCCCTGGAATTTAAGTCCCAACACAACGCAGGGATGATGTTGGGTTTCAAATGAGAGAAAACCTGTGCATAGATAGATAAATGTCCTTACAAATGTAGGAAACCATTACGGACCTGAACCTAAGAACATGGGCCTGGTCTCCTCACCCCCAGAACCCTGCCCAGTGCTGCCTTTTCTGTGACATGTTCAACTCACAAAACCAAATTATGCCCCTTTTCTCTTATCATTATTCCCTGTGATGACTTTTCTCATCTCATAACTTAGCTTGTTTGCTTTTTTAAACTCTTTTGTTTGTTTACATGTCCTTTTCTAATATGTGAGCTTTTTAAAGGTGAAAACTACATCTTCATATCCCTAGAAACTAGTCCACTGCCTGGCACATATCAGATTCTCAGATGTTGAACTCAATGTCTGGTCAAGCGTGAAGGACTCGGGTCACGTAACGGAGACTATTCTGACTGTAGAGGTACTTTAACATTGAACTGGACACAAAAGCTGCCTATGCAGCCATTTAAGTAGGTCATGTTTGTGTCTCTAGGAAATGGAGAACGTAGGAGTAGTTTCTACTCAGCCCTCTTTTTTCAAACCACCAATTTTCTCTGTATTTTGGTGGGCTTTTTTCTCCCTAGTTAACATTATCCTCAAGTCCTGGTCTCCAGCCTGATAAATGAGCCCCTTTCTCTGGTTGCTATTCAATTCACACAAACAGGTCTTCCCAGGTCCCTCTAATTAGACTTAATTTCTCCCTTTCCTTGGGTGCACTGTTTATCCCACTACCATGGTACTTAGGACAATCTTATTGATTGTGGCCTTTTCTGCCTCCCCCTCTTTTCTGTGCATTTCTCCAAGAGAAGTGCATGTCAAAAATATCAGACTCTAAAGATTTAGCAGCATAACTCTCAAGATAGATGAGGAATTGAAAACCAGATCCTTCCATGGCCAAAACGGGGGAAACTGTTTATCTTACTTGTGATAATTCAGCTCTATAATACTACAATTGCTATTCTTCTTTCTATGAATATACCAAGACTGAAACCGTTAAGAGAGTCCTTGTAATTTCTGCAGTAAATAATGTTATGGTCAGAGAAAACCAGATTCAATGAACTCTCAATAAGATTAGTTTCTTAAGGCCAATACAAGAGTAAAAATAAACTCAGCCTTTATCAATAAATACCATCGAAATGTATTCTCAGACCATTTCTTGAAATAAGAAAATATCTTTTTTAGGAATGGAATCCCTCTCCATTATAAAAGTTTCTGCTAACTTGAATTAATAATATCCCAAGTCTACAGGTAATAAATGTTACAGAGTACACAATTTTCCTATTTCTGGCCATTCTCTCCTTTTTCTTAGCAAGAGAACTCCAATCTAATTCAGAGTGGCAATGCACACAAGCAAAAAGATTCAATTTTGTACCCTCCCTTATAGCTAGGTATGGCCATGCAATTAAGTCACTGTCAATGACACATAAGTAAAAGTATTGTGTGGAACTTCTAGAAAATCTCTTTGTTTCTTCCTGCTGCTTGGAACGCGGATGTGATGGCTGGAGCTTCAGGAGCTATTTCACATCATTGAAGATGGAAGTGACATGCCAGGATGGGGAAGATAAAGATGAAAGGAGCCTGAACCTTTGTTCACTATGGAGCCACCATTGTAGCCCTGTGTTTCTCACCTATAACATTTTTTTATTTGAAAAATAAATAAAAACTCTTAATTTGCTTAAACTGGTGTTATTCTGGGTTTCCTAGTATAGGTGATCAAATGTAATCCTACCTGATAGAGTATGCAAATATCAGGGCCTCTTTAGACTGGCCTTACAGGCATACCTCGTTTTATTGTACTTTGCTTTATTGCACTTAACAGATGTTGCTTTTTTTTTATTTTTTTTTTTACAAATTGAAGGCAAGACCCTCTACCTCTAAAAAGATTACAAGTTGCAGTGGTCTGGAACCAAACCTGCAATTTCTCCGAGGTACACCTGTATTTATCTCTGGATCTCAAAGGTGAATGGAACATCTAATTTTAATTTTAAGCATCCAACACAGAGACTAAGTTTTTAGATTTTTTTCTATTGGAAATCCATTTTAAATTAGAATTGATTTTATTAATTCATTGCCAAATACATTTAAAGTCTGAAATTTCCTTTTTTTCTAGAAGAGTAGCTCATAGGAAACATTTGTGCTTGCAATGTACTTGCAATGCTAAGAATTTCAACAGCAAAACTATAAAACTATAAAACAACTTACAAGTTCATCGGTTTCCACATCAAGGCCATTCTGATACCTTCGTGAATTCCTAAGGCTTTTAAGAGTAGAATTCCTAAATATGCGAGATTTCCAGCCATTTGGGGCCATACCAGTGGCAGCTTTTTCATCATTTAGTTCAGCTTCAAATTCTTCTGACTGGATCTGGTTTCCTGATGTCTGAAAGAACGCAATGTTAAATTGTGTGTGTGTGTGTCCAGATCTGTGAAACCTCTAAGTTTAGAACCATGAAGCCATTTTCAATATAACATGTGTCAAGACTTTTAGATTCCATAACAGCGTCTTAATCAAAGTTAGCTGGAAAACTGTGAAGAAGTATATCAACACATGGAAGTTAAAAAGGTTAAAAAGGACAGAAAGGTTAAATTAAATTTCAACAATATGAAAATTAGAGTATAAAAGTAATTTCTAAAATCTAAAAGGCAATTTTTCACCATCCAGCAGGTATGTAGAAATTTCCTCAATATGTAAGAATACAGAGAACCAGGCATGGCCACCAGGAGAGGGAAGAAGACTAAAAACAGCATTACCAAGGGTTCACTTTTAAACCTACAAACAAGGTCACTCCCCCACAGGAGGCAATTAAACGGCTTTCCTTGATTGGCTGAGTGTAATCATCTTTTTTTCTCCTTCTGGTCCTGCTTAATAATCCTACCTCGCCCCAGGTAACCCAACCTGCAAGCTCAGCTCATTGCCATCCTTGGGATCAATTCTCTTCTTAAAGAGGAAGGGTAATTGAAGGACCTCGATCTAGCTTAATGCCAAGTGAGAGAATGTCAAGCCAATCTTGCTAGAGAGTCTAACTTTGAGTCTGGTTCCCTGTTTGCTTCCTCCATGTCTGAGTACCTATCTTAATGGTTTGTCCAGGAACTCAGCCTTTGTAGTGCTGTCTTGTTCTTGCTTTTCCCCTTCAGGTCCAAAGTTGCTCAAGTGAGTAAGTACAATAAAATGTCTCGTTCAATAAGACAAACCAATAATTATAAATATCACCTGTTTTAGGAATTAAGAGTGAATAATTGTTTTTTTTTAAAGAAAAACAAATTACAGGCATGCCTCGTTTCATCGCACATCGCTTTATCATGCTTTACAGATGGTGCGTCTTTCACAAACTGAAGGCTAGACTCTCCACTAGCAAAAAAATTACCACTCACTTCATTGCGATATTCACTTGATTGCTGTCATCTGGAACCGAACCTGCAATATCTCTGAGGTATGCCTGTATTCACTTCCTAGAGCCATGAATCTTGCTATTGGTTTTATTAGGATCATCTAGGAAGCATTTTTAAAATCACATAGAACCTTCCCTAAGCACTAAAGATTCTGGCGTTGCCCTCTTTCTCCTACCACTCTGATCCTCCCTAATCTTATGGTGGAAAAAACCTGTTTGAACATGTTCGTCGGGCAATTAAGAATCTCCATCCTAAGGAGTAAGTTCAAAAGGTTTTGAGCATTTTCCTCCTGCCTTGCCTTTCTCTCTTTCAGGATTCTTTCACTGGTTCTGAATTAAAGTCTCAAATGCATCCTTTCAGGCATCTTCCTGAATACTGCTTATTCCTCGGTATGGCGTGAGCTGCATGACATTTTAATAATGTGAAGAATCCTGTGCTGAGTACCAAATGGCAGACACGCTTCCTGAGAAGTGGCTACCTGCATGGTGACAAGCTTGAAGTACAGCCCTTCCTTCTTCATCAGTTCACTGTGGCTTCCTTGCTCCACGATGACTCCATCCTCAAACCCGGCAATGACATCTGCATTTCGGATTGTAGATAATCGGTGTGCGATCACAATGGTGGTCCTGCCTTCTCTGGCCTAAAGGGGAACGGGAGAACATGTGGGGCCGCGGGTTTACAAGGCTGACGCACTGTCAGATAACATGTGCAATTAAGCCCTTGGATGGACATGTTTGCGATTGATGAGACAGTAGCTTACCCTCCCCCTGTAATTAGGGCACAAAGGCATCATTCCTCCATGAAAGGTGAGACTCAAGTGCTGGACCAGACAGGAGGTTAGTCCCTTCAATGTGAGGATGGATAACTCTGGGAGCCTAAATAGTGTCAGTCTTTACTCAAGAAACACAAGAAAAGGTCTGACTCTTCTCAAGTGTTTCCATGCTTGTCTGGGGAGCCCTAGTTCTGAGTTACATGGCATACCAGAGACTTTAGCAAAAATGTGTTACAGGAGTTGTTGCCACATAAGCCTTCTCCAGAGCACTTCTGTAGGGTTTCTTTTTCTTTTCATTTTTAAAAATTTTTATTGGGTAACAGTGTGTTTTTTCCAGGACCCATCAGCTCCCAAGTCGTTGTCCTTCAGTCCAGTCGTGGAGGGCGCAGCTCAGCTCCAAGAACACTTGCCATTTTCAATCTAGTTGCAGGGTGCGCAGCCCACCATCCCATGCGGGACTCGAACCGGCAACCTTGTTGTTCAGAGCACGCACTCTAACCAACTGAGCCACCCAGCCACCCCTGTAGGGTTTCTTTTGAAGTGCCTGATTTTAGCTATAATTCTGATGGACTGCATGCAGGCAGTTTAGGTGAAAATGTGCCTTGGAATCTGCATGGTTCAAAATATGGTACAAATACCATTTAAATCAAAATCTCTGGAGTGGGGCCAGTAACTTTGATTTTTAATAAGTTCCCCAGGTGATTTTTTTTATGCATGCTAAATTCTACAAATAACCCCTCTAAGTAGTTCATTAAACTCACATGTTGGCTTGGTGGGTTTATGAATGGGCATTTAAATCCTGGAAAATGCTCATCAAATTATTTGTATTACATAATTAATAATGGTTACTCTTTTTGATACTTAACTCTATTAGGCTAATAGCTTCTTAAGACCACTCCTACTCAGAGGCAATAAAACCTCATCATTAAGATGGTTATTAGAGCATAGCCTAATTCACTTAAGTAGTTAAACATATAAACTAAAAATGAGAGGCTAGATTCATAATTGCCAAAAAGTGGGAACAACCCAAATGTTCATCAGTTGATGAAAGGATAAAGAAAATGTGATAGATCCATACAATGGAACATTATACCATAAAAAGGAATGGTATTCTGATGCATGTTTCAACATGGATGACCTTGAAAATATTATGCTAAGTGAAAAAAGCCAGTCACGAAAGACCATGCATTATATGATTCCATTTATATGAAATGTCCAGAATAGGCAAATCCATAGAGACAGAAAACAGGTTAGTGGTTGCCAAGGGCAACGGTAAGTGCAGAATGGGGAGTGACTGCTAATGGGTACAAGGCTTCCTTTGGGAATGATGAAAATATTCTGCAACTACATGTGTGGTGTCGGTTGCAAAATCTTGTGAATACACTAAAAACCAATAAAGGCATTTTAAAAGGGTGAACTTTATGGTATATGAATTATATCTCAATTAAAAAAAGAGCAGTCATTAAAATTCTGAAAAAGTTAATGAGAGGGGGCTATCTCCACCATATATTAAAACATAAAAAGCTACAGCAATTAAAACAGTAAAATCCCGGGGAAGCTATCACGTGAACAGACAATTTGATCCACAGAACAAAATAGAGAATCCAGAAATGGAAATAAAACATTTAAGATTTAGTATATGATAAATATGGCATTATCTACCAATAGGGAAAGATGGACTATATAAATAAATGGTATTGAGGTAATCGTGCAGCCACATGCAAAAAAATAATGTGGTTTTTCTACTTTATTCCTTACTCTAAAATAACTAGAGTCAACCGTGTTTAAATAAACATAAAAGAGCTGAACCACAAAAACAGGGACGAGAGCACAGCTCTATTGGCAACATTTGAGACTATTTCTTGATTTTTAGTGTATAGGCCCCAAAGAAGCATTCATAAATATTTACCAATGTGGAAGGGGCATGGCTTAGTCCACGCATGATAAGGTATAAGGGAAAAAGTTTGATCAATCTAATTCTATTCATGAGATAAATAGTGATGAGTAAATTGCTAACAGTGGCTACATTATCATTATGATAATAACAGGTTGGTGCTATGTCAACACAAACAAAACCCAAAACACCCCAAAACCAGAAGAATTAGAATCAGACTCGTGAGTGACTGACTGGTGCACAGGAAAACCAAAGTATACATTTGTAAACTTAAAAGTTAGCAACTATCACCCTTGACCAAGAAATTTTGGCCAGGGAAGAGATTTGACACAAAGAGATACATTTCAGATCTCTCCGACACCCTAATGATGATGACAAGACACTGATGAATAAATATCATTCAAGGACACCAACCATTAAGAAATTTGGACCTTGTACTAGATGTGCAGGGATGAAAGGCAGGCTCAAACAGAGGGAGTACTAACCCAGTAGCCTTCTGGAACTTCTGGGGGGGGGGGAAAGGGCACAAAATGAAACCTCCTGGAATCCTCTCATAAAATCACCATGGAGGCTATCTTTTGGTTCTTTTCTTCCCCGCTCCTGTATGGTAACACTATGAGTAGGAGAATGCATATAGGTATAAAACTTCGTGGTTATTGACTTTCTTTAAAAAATCAAAATATCAAATCTGCTTTTGTAGTCAAGATTTTATATCGAAAAACCTATTATTGATTTTGACAAATAGTTGCTATCTATTGAGTCAAAAGTTGATATCATTATTATTTATTTTATTTTATTTATTTTTTTTTTCAGCTGAGCCCTCCTGCCACCTGTTGGCAGCTCAGCGGCTGCTCAGCTCGGGCTGGACTCGAACCGCTGTTGCTCAGAACTCACACTCTTGAGCGAGCTCTTAACCAACTGAGCCACTCGGCCGGCCCCTAAAAGTTGATATCATTATTATTATTATATTTTTTACTATAGACATGTATTATCTCAATGAGCTGGACCCTAGTAATATTTAGTTAGGCTCTACTATGCATGAGGCACTGGATTAAGTGTTACAGGGACACAAATATGAACCATTATTAATTTTGCCTCTTAGGGTGTTTATTCCTTTCAGGAGAGAAAAGGCATATAAATAAATAGCTAACTACAATAAGTTGGTGCCACACGAGAGGTACTGATAAATGTATAGAGAATCCACAAAAGGAAAATATTACTCTTCCATGATAGGTAATCAGGGAGGGATAACAATAGATATACTAGTGGTATGTTCTTATGCTCTTCAGAGGAAAGATAATGACAAAAGTCAACTTTTCATTGTTAGAAGAATGTTGGTTTATAACTTAGAATGACTGGCCAATTGACAGAACTAGAATCAGTGTGGGGAGTGCAGTAATGAAGGATTTCTCTTTCAAAGATGGTTTATTGTCTGCAAAATATATCAATGTAACTACCCTGCAAAGTACAAAGTTAATTAAGTGGATTATAAACTATTCATAGCAACTATGGTGGACTATAAACATGGCTACAAATACCATGCAGCTACTCCCATCCACAGAGGGAGAATATTTCTCTACCTCCTCCAATTTGGGCAGGCCATGTGATTTATTTTGATCATAAAACAATGTGAAGAAATTGACACTTGCATAGTTTCTGGAGCCTAGGCTTCGAGAGGCCTTACAGTTTATGCATTTGCCACCTTTGAATGCTTCCTTGCCCGGATGGCTCAGTGGACAGAGCACACGCTCTTAACAGCAAGGTTGCCAGTTCAACTCCCGCATGAAAAAAAAAAAAATCCTGGCGTGAATGCTACCTTAAAACCACAGTGAAAAGAAGCTTGTCTAGTCTATTGGAGGATGAGAAGCCTCATGGAGGAGAACCCAGCTCCTTCAGGCAACAGCGATCACCAACTGCCAGGCACATGAGTGAGGCCATCTTGAAGGTTCCAGCTCAGCTAACTCAGAGCTAAAAGTAACTGCCTGAGTGATACTAGGCAAAACCAACAGAGGAACCACACCAGCCAAACCACTAAGTTCTGGCTTAAAAAAACTGATATGGAAATTGGTAGTTCGACTGGGATACTACTATAACAAAAACCTAAAATATGTGGCATTGGCTTTGGGGTTGAGATCTGAGTGGTAGTCAGTGGCTGAAGGGAAGTGATGATATTATTACTGGTGACTGAAAGAAACGTAAAGAAATTACTAGTGGAGCTTGGAAAGAAGGTGACCTGTGTTATGTAACCTTGGAATAATTGGGAAAAAATATTTCCTTCAGCAACTTGGAAAAAAATTATATTTTATCTAATGAACTTGTACATTTAGCTAAGGAGATTCCAGAGATCTCTAAACAGAATGTTGAAAGTGCCAATTGGATTCCGCTGGCTGTATATGATAAGGTATGGGAAGAGAATGATGATTCAATTCACTTTTTTCAAGGTGCATTTAAGGGCAACATAGAAGACCCTGTACTTGCTAGGTTGGAAAATGAACTGTTAGTCATCCAGTGAAATGGGGCCAAAGATCAAACCAGGGTTTGGGCATAAGATTTTTTTTGGATAAAATCTCTGAAAGACTTAAAGCAGAATCTAGTAGACAGTCTCAGCTACATAAAAGGGCTTCTAAGACCCTTGAGTAAGGGTTTTCTCACAGCAGTTTCACATGCAGCCCAAAGTAGAGAGAGGCTTGTCTTAAAAAACACTATGGATGTAGCTTTGGGGGCTTAAGTGAACCACCATCAGATTCTAAGCAAACAAATTCTTTTTTTTTTTT